ATATAGGTTTTAAAAATATTCCCTTAAAATGTTCTGAATTTCCTTGGTGTGTGTCGTAATATTTCCTTGTTCATTTCTGATTCTGTTAATTTGGGTCTTTTGCTGAGTTGGATCTTATTTATTTTCTCAAAAATGAGCTCTCAGGTTCATTAATTCTTTGTATTGCTTTCTTTGTTTATCTTTCATTAATTTCTGCTCTGATTTTTATTATTCCTATGTGTATAATGGATTTGACTTTGGTTTGTTCTTTTTAAATTCTTGAGTAGTATCATTGTTTATTTGTGTATGTTCAGATATGTGTATTTTAATGCATGCTCTTAGGATTCCTCTTGTAGGAATGCTTTTATTGATTCCCAGAGATATAGTTTTGTTTTACTTTAGTTCCAGAAAAAAAATATTACTCTTATTTCTCATATGACCCATTTCAGTAAGAAATTGTTTAATCTCCATATGTATGTGTGTTTACTGGAGATTTGTATGCTATCAGTTTTAATTTTGATAACATTGTGTACAGATAGGATATGTGGAGTTATTTCAATTTTCATGAAATTTTAAGGTGTATTTTTTTGCTTCAGAATATGGTCTATTTCAGAGAAGCTTCCATGGGCCACTGAGTAGAGTATATATTCTTTGGTATTTTGCAGGGATACTCTGTTAAGACCTATTGGGATAATTGCTGTGTGATGTCATTAAATTCTGATGTTTTTTTTTTTGTTTGTTTATTTTTTCTCTAGATTATTTTTCAATTGGAGAAGTTGATATTGATATATCACCTACTATTACTGGATTGTAGTTAATTTTATGTTTTAATTCTAGTAGTATGCTTTTCATGAAATTGGGTGTATCAGAGTTTAAATAAATTCTTGGGATTGTAGTTTCTTCTTGGTTAATTGTTCCCTTGGTTAAAATGAAATGTCCTTTATTTTGTCTGATAAGTTTCAGTTTCAAGCTTATTTGTTTATATTTATTAGGGTCAGGGCATTTGCTTGCTTCATGTTCTCTTTTTCTTAGAATACATTTTTCCATCTTTCCCCTTTAAGGTATTGCCTACTTTTAAAGCTGTAATTAGTTTCTTGTAGACAACAGAAAGAAGGATTTTGTTTCTTACTCCATTTGGGTGACCTGTTCTTTGATTGGGGAATTGGAGCTATTGATGTTTGATGTTTATTGATATTGAAAGGTGCATGTTGATTGAAGGAATTTTATTTATTTTGTTGTTTGTGTTCTTTATTGGTATTTTGTGTTTCAAGAATTATAACTTCATTTGTTTTCCTTCTAGTCTTGGATGTGCTTGTTCTTCTCTTCAGTCAGAAGTAATACTTCCAGTATCCTGTAGGGCTTGTTTGGTGGACATGCATAATAAGAATGATGTGATAGTTATTATTATTATTTTGAGACAGTGTCTGATGTAGCCTTTTCGGGTCTGCATCTTGGCCAGGATAGCCGTGAATTCATAGAGATAGCTGTGCCTGCCTCAGTTTTATGGATGGTGAGATTAAATGTGCTCACCATCATGGCTGGCTGACATGAATTCTTTTAATGTTCATTATCATGGAAATTTTTTTCTTTTTCATTTGTGGTTGACAGTTGTGCTGGGTATAGGAGTCTAGGCTAGCATCTATAGTGTTTTAAAATGCATGACTCCAAGTTTTATTTCCTTTTAAAATTTCCGTTTGGAAATAAGCTAAATGTTTTTCTTTATCTGTTATCTGTGTTTTTTTTTTTTTTTTGTTTTGTTTTTTTTTTTGTTTTTTTTTTTGCATTTTCAATACTCTGTTTTGTAAATGTAGTGTTTTAATTATGCTATGCCAAGGAGAATTTTTTTTTTCTGGTCCTACCCAGTGTTCTGTGTGCTTCCTGCATCTGTACATGTGTGATTTTACTTAATTTGGGGAAGTCTTTTCTTTTTCTCCATTTGTTTATTTATTTAATCACTTTACATCCCGATCCCAACTTCTCCCTCTTCTCCTCTCAGTCCTAACCCCGTACCCTCCTCCTCCCATTCTGCTTTCTTCTTTCTAACAGAGAAGGGGAGACCCCCCCCCCCCCCAGTTGGTACCAATCTACTCTCTTAAATCACTGCAGGACTAAGCACATCCTTTCTCACCTGGGAGTGACAAGGCAGCTTAGCTATGGGGAACTGACCCAGTGGTAGGTAGCATTTTCAGACACAGCCCCTACTCCTATTTTTAGGGGACCCACATGATGACCAAGCTGCACATTTGCTATATATGTAAAGGGGGGCGGTCTATGTTCCCTCTGTGCAAGCTCTTTGGTTTCTGGTTTACCCTCTGTGAGCCTCCATGGGCCCAGGTTAGATTACTCTGTAGGTCTTCTTATGGTGTGCTTATCCCTCTGACTCCCACTTCCTTCCTTCCACTCTGCCACAGCACTCCCTGAGCTTGACCCATTGCTTGGCTTTGGGTCTCTGCCTCTGTCTCCATCAGATGCTGCCAATGGAAGCCTCTCAGAAGACAGTTTTGCTAGACGCAGAGTGTCTTAGTAGTGACATTGGTTGGCCTGCTTCTGTGGCTTGGGTCTCAAGCTGGGCCAATCACTGGTTTGCCATTCTTTAAAACTCTGTTCCATCTTTGCACCTATACTTCTAGACAAGACACATTTTGTGTCAAAAGTTTCATGTGTGGGTTGATGTCCTTCTTCTGCTGGGAGTCCCACCTGGCCACAGGAGGTGCCAACTTTATGCTCCTTAACACCTGTTTTTCGTAGTCTCAGCTAGGGTTACCCCCATAGACTCCCAGGAGCCTCCCCTTTCTCAGAGATGCTCTCCCACCCCCTATTTCTGTTCTTTCTCCCAGTTCGTCTCCTCACCTGCCCTCCTTCTCTCTCCGTTCACCTGATTCCCATTCCCATTATCCTCCCCATACCATCTCCCACCCAGTTCCCTTTCTTCATCTACTTCAAATGTCTATTGCATTTCCTGCTCTGAGTGAGCTTCAAGCATCTTCTCTTGGGCTCAACTTGGCTTCTTAGGGTCTGTGAATTGTAGTATGCTTATCTTGTACTATATTGCTAATATCTGCTTATATGTGGGGAAGTTTGAGCTGTTTGTGTCCTTAAATAATTTAATGAAAAATTCCTTGATGAAATTTAAGTTCTGTGTGCCGAGGTTTATGTAGGGAATTTTTTTGGACAACATGTCTGTAGGATTGGTGGGTTTTAGGGGGAAGAAGAAGAAGGCCTTGGATTTTCATATTGAAATTTTTATCATATAACTTGGGCATGTGGACTTCTTTTGTTGGTTCTGTGTCTGATGTGAGGTTCTAGACTGTCTCAGGTATGCCTGTGGACAGGCTGTGTGCCTGAGGCAAGGCCTGAGGGATGGGGATGGCACAGGCAGATGAGTTTTCTTGCACTCATCAAGCTGGTTCCTTGTATAGATGTATGATCTGTGTATTCCTTTAGGTTGGATAGTATACAGCCTGGCTAGGATCTGGTGGAACATACTAACTAAACTAGTGCACATGATATTCAGGCTGTGGGACCAGTGCCAAGTCCAGGGCTTAGAAAGACATTGGCAGCAACTGATCAGATGGGGCAAGTCCACAATATATTAGGCTTGTGACAAACATGGGAGTTGGAAACAGCACAGGCAGGACTCACCAGACTGATTTTGAGGGATGGAGAGTGTGCATATGTGCTATGGTTCAGGAGCTCACAAGAGGACCTGAGTACAGGGCTGAGGACTAGGGCAGGGTTTGTATATTGGATTTGACATAGGCAGCTGGAGCGGAGGAATAGGGGAGAGAGAGCACAGGTAGTCTATCTGGTTGGTGACTACAAGGTCTCTGGTAGCTAGTGGGCCTGAGATCAGTCTAGTCCCAAAGACATCATCTCTGTTTTATCAAACATTAATCAAACTCCAGAGAAATTCAGCTCTCTGCCCAGGGTTATTTAGCTTTTGTATGATAAACCTTGATGTGTTTGGTCGCTATTACCTGCAATTACAGTTCTAGGACTGCCAAGGCAAGAGAAGCCTGGTCATGAGTGTGACTTTTAAGATCTGTGTTTCAGTGAGTGAAAAGTGCTGAGAATGTGTTATTGAGTCAGTTTTGAGTGAATTGACATTTTGAACAACTATGATGGCTTGAGAGCATATTAATGATGGGCTCTGGAGCCTGTGAGAGTTTGTTTACATTAGATTGAGATGGAAAGTTCTACTTTAACTGGATAGTGCCTTTGCATGGGCTGTGATCCTGGATTGGAAGAAAAGGAGTGATGAACTGGCCATGAGGATTAGTCTTTTTTGGATTCCTGAACTCAAATGCACGTGGATTAGCCATTTGAAGCTTTATTCCTAAAGTGAACCCTTTCTTCCTTAAGTTGCTTTGTCAGAGTATTTTTTTTCACAGCTATAGGAAAGTAACTCATACCTATTGTGTTTCTAGTTATGTGCAGTGTATCTATCTACCTTTTCATTCATCATTGTATGCATTTCTATGCTCGTAAGATGAATTCCTAAATTTCAGATCAAGGGTATATATACTTTTGACTTTATATGTGTTGAGAAATTATACACTAGAAAGATTGTGCTAGTTTATTTTTTCACTCTAACTACATAAATGGTTTCCTTTTATTCTATCATTAATATATTAAGCAGTACCAATCTGATAAATGTAGAATGTCTTATTTTAGGTTTGCTGTCTTGGAGTTTTATAAAGGTTTTTTTCTCATTTTTTCCATAGATGTTCTGTTTTTTTTTTTTTTAAATACAGTTGATTAAATATTTTAGAAATACTTTGAAAGCTAAAATTACTTATACTTTACTGCCTTCATTAGTATTTTTATGAAAGTGCTTGACTTACTGATAAAGAATATAAAATTCTGTACAGTTTTAAGTGTAAGTGCATTTGTATATAATTCATTAAGTTTTAAACCATGAGAGTGTATAATATTTTTTATTTAGAAAGTAAAGTAGATAGGTGGAAAACCTTAAAAAGTGCCTTATTGGTTTGTGGTTTTTACTTTTTAATTTTTTATAGATACTGTACTCCAAGATACTTGGATTATGAAGATTTGGAACGCAAATACTGGAAAAACTTAACTTTTGTGGCACCTATTTATGGAGCAGATATTAATGGGAGCATATATGATGAGGTACATTTATATTTTTGTTGTTTTTTAAAACATTGCTTGGTGATACTGCTTTTGTTTACTATTTTTAGATAGCTGAGAAGTACCCAATTATATCTTTCATCAATTTATTATTATTATTATTATTATTATTATTATTATTATTATTATTGTTGTTGTTGTTGTTGTTTTGAGACAAGGTTTCTCTATGTAGCCCTGGCTGTCCAGTACTCACTTTGTAGACCAGGCTAGCCCTAAACTCATAGTGATCTGCCTGCCTCTGCCTCCCTGAGTGCTGGTATTTCATTAATTATATTTTATTTGTTTGCTTTTGGGTATTTATACTTTTTAAGTATGAGAGAAAAAGAAGATGGTCCTCCTCTTTCTTTTTTTACTTTCCTTTTTTTTTTTTTTAAGTTTTTCGAGACAAGATTTCTCTGTGTATCCTTGGCTGTCCTTTGTAAACCAGGCTGAGCTTGAACTCACAGTAATCTGCCTGCCTCTGCCTCCTTGAGCACTGGGATTACAGGCATGTGTTACCATGCCATGCTGTTCACTTTTTTAAAATTTTTATTTTAAAGTGTGTATGTGTGTGTGTGTGTGTGTGTGTGTGTGTGTGTGTGTGTGTGTGTATGTATGTGTTTGTGTATCTGGGTGAGGGTATGCATGTTTGTATGGATGCTTGTGGAAGTTAGATACGATGGATATCTTGGAGTTGAAGTTGTAAGCTCTCTGATGTGAGTACTAGGAACCAAATTCAAATCCTCTGCAAGATCAGCATTCACTATTAACTGAGCAGTTTTCTCCATTTTTTTCCCCACTCCTCTTTTTTGTATTTTGAGCCAGAGTCCTGATAGTTCAAGCTAGTTGAAATCTGTTCAGCTGAGGATGATCTTTTTGATCATCTTTCTGATCCTTTTGCCTCTATTCCCAGTTTCCATTCTACAACTGTGAGTAGACACAGAATAACTAGCAGGAGTCAATTCTTTTCTTCTGCCATTTTGATTTTGGGGATCAAATTCTGGTCCACTGCCTTGTTGGTGTGGTAAGTGCTTTTACTGGCTGAGCTCTCTCTCCAGCCCTACGCTTTTAATTTTTTTTTTTCTTTTCATGGACAAATTGTATGATTTCTTTTTTTAAAAATACATGTATGATAGTCTTTTTAAAGCTATTAATGTTGTATTCAACCTGACAATTCATCTTTAGTATATCAGCATGTGTCTTTAAGTTACAATAGAAAATTCGTATGTCCACTAATTTATAGGTTATATTGAGATTCCCATAATTTCTCTACTGTTATTTATAGTAATGTTATTTATAGTATATAATGTTATTTATAGTAATGTTATTTATAGTGGAGGAAGAATAAATTTCACTGTATAGGTAATAAGTGAGAGAGCTGTATGGTGTTCTCTTGGTAAATATTTTGTTCTGCAACACTTCCATTTTGTCTTTGTGCATTGATATCCATTGCTAACCCTTGCCTTGTCTAGTCTGTCTGAAAAAGTTTGTGTGTTCTGTTAATGTTTTTAAAAATTCATTTTTTTTTAATTTACCAGTTCCTCTACCTTGTCTTGAAAAGTTTTCACTTGACTTTATTGAAGTTTTTCTTTCCTCCATCATTTCATTTGATGTTGCTTTAGTATTTGTCTTTATTAAATTCAATTCTCTTGTATTGACTTACTTGTTTTATCCAGTTGTCTTTGTTTCCTTCTAATTCATTCAAGAGTTTACTCATATCATCCTTTATTTCTTTAAACATTTCATTTCTTTGACTTACTTTTCTAGAATTTTGTCTGATATCCTCTTACCAGGGGACATTGCTCTGGAATGAGTAGATTTTAGAGGAGTCACAGCATACTTGTTTTTTGTGTTACTTGTGTTTTGTATTAGGATTTGCACATTAGGAGTTAGTTTGTTGACCTCCCTCCTTCTCACTCCCAGTTTGCAGTATTTGTAATGCTTCATAGGTATTAGGTTGTAGTAGCTTTTTGATATTATTTTCTTCTGTTAGACTTGTATTTAGGCCGTAATAATCTATTCCTAGCCTTCTCTGCAACAAGAAGTTGTAGATTCACTATGAAATAGAATAGTATTCAGCTACACAAAGTCACCTCTTAAACACTAATTACTTCATGTACTAAAGGGACATTGGTAGTTCTGTGTTTATTAATATATTAGTTGTTTGAGTAGGAATTGAAATAAAAAGTAAATAGAAAGCAGGAAACAAAGCAGTAGTAGGACTAGTGATTAGCTTTGGGATGGTATTTGAGACCACATAGGGAAGAACAAAATAAATAAGAGAAGGGATTGCAGTCCTGTCAGAATCACGACTGACATAAACTGGAGAGAAGTAAAGATGCTATCTTATAATGCAGGGCAGTTTCATCTTTCATGGGCCTTGCAAACCACTTTATTGGGAGAGTGAAAAACAAAAGAAAAGAACAAGGAAAAAAAGAAAGGAAAACAACAGTATAAAACAAAACAAAAAAGAGAGAGAAAAAAAGAAAAGCATTAGGAAGCAAGAACAGAATGATCCTGAAGTGGCTTGATAAAGTGAAATTGGGATATTAAACACAGGGGAGAAATACAGAGGGAGAGAAAGCCTGATTATTATTTTTTAAAGAAGATTTATTTAATTGCATGTATGTGTGCATACGCACACATGCACATGTTAATGCCTGTGGAGACCAGAAGAAGGTATAGGATCCTTTGGAGACTGGGTACAGGTGGTTGTGAGCTAGCTAATATTGATTCTGGGAACCAGAATTCTCTTAACAGCTAAACTGTTCAAGGTAAGCCTCAAGTACATAGTGAGTCGGAGGATGGCCTCAGCTCTATGTCTCTCCTTCAATAACTAAAACTAACCCCTCCTCCCATATACTAGAAAATAATCATTAAATTTCTTTTTTCTTGGAAGGAATAGTATTAGAGCTTATATATATAATTGAAAAGTTTATATTATCAATAAAAAATTAGATAGTTACAAACACCGTAGTTGAATGGCTTTTTCTTTTTTTTCCTTTCATTAATTTGTTTATTTAGTCACTTTACAATCTGATTACAGCGCCCTGCATTTTCTCCTCCTAGTCTCACCTGCAAGCTCCATGCTTTCCCATTCCTTCCTCCTCTTCTCTTAGGTGAAGGGGAGTCCTCCCCTCCCCCAACCTATGGGTACCAGCCCACCCTGGCACATCAAGTCTCAGCAGGACTAAGAACATCCTTTCCCACTGAGGCCAGATAAGGCAGCCCAGCTATGGGAAAAGGATCCAAAGTCAGGCAACAGAGTCAGAGACAGCCCCAGCTCCAATTGTTAGGGGACCTACATGTTGACCATGCTTCACATCTGCTACATATGTCTAATAACTCATGCATGTTCTTTTGTTGGTGATTCAGTCTCCATGAGCCCCCATGGACCCAGGTTAGTTTACTCTGTAGGTCTTCTTGTGGTATCCTTGACCCCTCAGGCACCCTCATTGCATCCTTACACTCTTCCATAAGACTGCCTATTGTTTGGCTGTGGGTCTCGGCATCTGTTTCCATCAGCTACTGATGAAGCCTCTCAGAAGACAATTATGCTATGCTCTAGTCTGTAAGCATAACAGAGTATCATTAATGGTGTCAGGGGTTGGATCTCTTTCATGGGATGGATCTCAAGTAGTGCTTGTCATGTGTTGGCCATTCCCTCAATCTCTGCTCCATATTAATTTTTACATTTTTTTGTAGGAAGGACAAATTTTGGGTTGAAGGTTTTATAGATGAGTTGGTGTCCTTCTATGTCCACTGAAAGTTGCACCTGGCTACAAGAGGTGTTAATTTCAGTCTCCATAACCCCCCTCACCCACACCCTTCTCCTAGTAGTCTTAGCAAGTCTATCCCCATAGGCTCCTGGGAGTCTGATATTTTCTAGTTCTATTCATTTGCCGGAAAATTGCATGATGTCTTTGTTTTTAATAAGTGAGTAGTATTCCACTGTGTAAATGTACCACATTTTCTTTATCTATCCTTTGGGTGAGAAACATTTAGGTTGTTTCCAGCTTCTGGGTATTACAAATAAAGCTGCTATGAACATAGTCAAGCAAGTGTCCTTGTGGTATGATAGAACATCTTTTGTGTATATGCCCAGGAGTGGTATAGCTAGGTCTTAAGGTAGAACTATTCCCAATTTTCTAAGAAACTGCCAGATTGATTTCCAAAGTTGTTGTACAAGTTTGCACTCCCAGCAGCAGTGGATGAGGGTTCCTCTTGCCCTATATCTTAGCCACCATGTGCCCACATTTGAGTTTTTGATCTTAGCCATTCTGGTGGGTATAAGATGGAATCTCAGGGTTGTGATTTGTGTTCTCCTGATGGCTAAAGACATTGAACATTTTTTAAGTGTTCCTTAGTTGGGAATTCTTTGTTTAGCTCTGAACATTTTTTAATTGGGTTATTTGGTTTTTTGGCATTTAATTTCTTGAGTTCTTTGTATATTTTGGATATTAGTCCTCTGTTAGATGGTGAAGATCTTTTCCCACTTTGTAGGCTTCTGTTTTGTCCTTTTGACTGTATTCTTTGCCTTGCAGAAGCTTTTCAATTTCATGAGGTCTCATTTATTAATTGCTGATCTCAGAGCTTGAGCTGATGGTGTTTTGTTCAGGAACTTGTCTTCTGTACCAGTGTGTTTAAGGCTCGTCCCCACTATCTCTTCTATTAGATGTAGTGTGCCCGGTTTTATGTTGAGGTCTTTGATGCATTTGAACTTGAGTTTTGTGCAGGGTGATAAGTATGGATCTATTTTCATTTATCTGCATGCAGACATCCAGTTAGACCAGCACCATTTGTTGAAGATGGTTTCTTTTTTACATTGTATGGTCAAAAATCAGTTGTTCCTAAGTGTGTGGGTGGAGTGTAAGTTTCTGATTTCTTTGGAAACTCAGTTATGTAATATGAATATGTTTTTCTTGTTTGTTTGTTTTGGTCTGCTGTATGGGATGTGGGAGTGTTTTTCCCCTGAAAACAGCCCCTGTGAGAGAGCCTGTGAT